GTTCTGTTGTTCTCCTTGTAGAGCTCCAGACCCTTCCAGGTCTTTCTATCTCCCCTTCTTTCATAAGATTCTCTGAACTCTGCCCAAAGTTTGGCTATGAGCCTCAGCATCTGCTTTAATATCGTCCTGGGTAGAATCTTTCAGAGGCCCTCTGTGGTAGGCTCCTGTCTTGTTCCTTATTTTCACCCTTCTCTGATGTCTATCCCGTTTGCCTTTCTGAATGAAGATTGAGCACCTTACCCAGGGTCCTCCTTCTTGCTTAGCTTCTTTAGGTGTACAGATTTTAGTATGATTATCCTATATGTCTAATATCCACTTCCAAGTGAGTATATACCATATGTGTCTTTCTGCTTTTGGGATACCTCACTCAGGATGATCTTTTCTAGTTCCCAACATTTGCCTGTAAATTTCATGATTTCCTTGTTTTTAGTAGTTTAGTAGTATTCCATTGTGTAAATGTACCACAATTTCTGTATCCATTCCTCAACTGAGGTACATCTGAGTTGTTTCCAGATACTGGCTATGGGTCTTTTCTGAGACTGATACTCCAACCAAGGACCATTCAAGGAGATAACCTAGACTCCCAGCACAGAGGTAGCCTTTGGCAGCTCAGTCTCCAAATGGGCACCCTAGTAAGGGCAGCAGGAGCTGTCTCTGACATGAACTCAGTGGCTGACTCTTTAACCACTTCTGCCTGAAGGGGGAGCAGCCTGATCAGGCCACAGAGGAAGACTATGAAAGACAGTTCTGATGAGACCTGATAGGCTAGGGTCAGATGTAAGGGGAGGAGGACCTCCACTATTAGTGGACTGGGCAAGGGACATGGGAGGAGATTAGGGAGGGAGGGAGGTGGGATTGGGAGGGGATGAGGGTGGGGCTACAGCTGGGATACAAAGTGAATAAATTGTAATAAATAAAAAATTATATTAAAAAAGAAAAAAAAAAGAAAGAAACAGAAGGAACACTCCCTGCACTGTTCTTAAATTACCTTTTTCCTGTCCTGTTCTTGGGAGAGAAGGGTGTATCCTTTCTCTGATATATTCCATCAAATCTTTCTCTGATTAGTCACTTTATCTACCCCTCAATTAGATGTCACCTTCAAACATGACTGCTTTCTTCCATAAAATAACCCTATCTTCATTGTTTAGGATTAAAACTGTATATTAAGGGCATGTCTGTATTCTATCCAGATCATACTGCAATCTAGAGCATGTTTGCCTTCCAGCCAGATGAAGTAGACCCAGAAGGACTTTGGATGTGATCCCTTGCCAGAACAGCTGTGTTGCTGGATTAAAATTCCTCCACAGGGTATATTATAATATAAAATTTAGAAATGAGACCAAGAGAGAGTAGTACTAGATGACGGTGAAGAATGGAATACAGGCACACATGAATTGTAAAGGAGAACATAAAAGTAATTGTTTTGCTAGTTTTTACTGTCATGGGTTTGTTGTTGTTGTTGTGGTGGTGGTGGATAAGTGATCGAACATGTAGCAGATAGTGAAAGTGTAAAACCCTAAGTGAGGCTCACGGATTCAGAATAACCATTCTAACTATTCAAAAGTCCACTGAGATATATAGAGTTGGAACATAAAAAACGTTTGTCTGAGAGACTTCCTTAATCTAGCTGTAGAATGTTTTTATTATAATAAAGTGACTAAAAAATCATGACTTCCAGTTCCACCCATATTTCTGAAAATTATGTAAATGAAATAAGTTAGACACAAAAAGATAAGTATTACATAATCTTTACTAAGTACTTAGAATATTTTTTTAAAGTCTTGAATGCAATTTGAATGCAAACCAGAGATTGGGGAGAAAGAGAGGTGGGTAAATAAACAGATGTTGAATATATGTGTTGAAATATTATAGTGGACTCCATTAATAAATGTATTGAGACCCCCAGTAATACATATCATGAGTTCAAACTACTAATGATAACATAAATAAAAATGCTGGTGTTTAAAAAATAAAAAAAAAAATCTTACTGTCTTTTGACAATGTGTCTGGTTAGCCAAGAGCCCTTCTGGATATGAGAATGAGATTCATGTTACTTTCATGCATATGAGCATGATGCTAATTCTGTAGTGCATGAATAACAGTGATTTCCAAGCATGATTTTTATTGTTTAAGGAATATATTCAGAAAGCCAGAGAGAGTGGCCACAAATAAGATTCCTCTGGTTTATGTGGGCATGTAAACTGAGAATCTTTGGGAAAGTATTCACAATCTAGATTCAATTAACATTTGCGATTCATGGGAAGAGGTGAGGATGGCCAAAGTAATAGAAATTTGAAATAAGTTGTTTCCAATCTTCATGAGAAACTATGAAGTGTTCAAGAAATTACAGACATGGCAAAGCAGTCGGGGGGGGGGAAGCAGAAGTTGAGCCAGAAGACGTGTACATTGCTATAATCTCATCGTAAAATTTTAATGGATGTGAAGTTGCTTATGGATAAGAAGAGGAAGTTATGTTTTTTTTTTTTCTTGTGATGGCTAGGGGAGGGAAGTGTCAGTTTCCTTCAGGGATATGGCTATCCAATAATCTGCCCATGCTCTTGCAGATGATACTATACACATAATGGCAACAACAAATGGACTTTGGGAGTGTAAAATGAGTACATGGCATTTGGAGGGAAAAATGTCTGGAGATATATGGAGAAGTTAAATAGGTAGGGACTGAATTTGACCAAAGTACATTGTATTTGTATGAAATTCTCAGACAATCATAAAAGTATTTCAGGAAGAAAATATTCTCTTGAGCCAAGCTAACTAAAAGGCAGAGAGACACCATCCAAATCACCAAAATCAGAAATGAAAAGGAGGACATAACTACAGACACTGAAGAAATCCAAACAATCATTAGGACTTACTTCAAAAGTATATATGCCACAAAATTTGAAAACCTATGAAATGGACAATTTTCTTGATTGATTCAACTTACCAAAGCTGAATCAGGACCAGGTAAATCAATTAAATAGTCCTATATCCCCCAAGGAAATAGAAGCAGTCATCGAAAGTCTCCCATCCAAAAAAAGCCCAGGACCAGATGGCTTCAGTGCAGAATTCTACCAGACCTTCAAAGAAGAGCTAACTCCAATTCTCTTCAAACTATTCCACAAAATAGAAACAGAAGGAACATTACCAAACTCATTCAATGAAGCCATAGTCACCTTGGTACATAAACCACACAAAGACCCAACAAAGAGAGAGAATTTCAGGCCAATCTCCCTTATGAACATTGACGCAGAAATACTCAACAAAATACTTGTAAACCGAATACAAGAACACATCAAAAATATCATCCACTATGACCAAGTAGGCTTCATCCCAGGTATGCAGGGGTGGTTCAATATGCAGAAATCCATCAATGTGATCCACCATATTAACAAACTGAAAGAAAAAAACCACATGATCATCTCCCTAGATGAGTCAAGTTCTTACTGTGTATCTTTGGTTGTCCTAAAACTCACCCTGTAGAGCAGGCTGTCTTTGAACTCATAAAGATCTACCCGCCTCTGCCTCCTAAATGCTGGCATTAATGGTGTGCGCCATTGTACCCAGCTTTGCTTGTGGTTTCTTAGTGGAATAAATTTATGATCAAACATGTTTTTCTATAAAACATATGAATACCTTGCTGTTGGTATATATCAGTAGAAGCATTAAGATGTTTAAATATAGAAATATACATGTAGTCATGTGCCATCAATCTTCTGAAATAGATAGCAACCTCTTTTAGCTCTAGAAGATTGCGTCTTGTATAGCACATGTAAGCAATCAGCATCAGATGCTTGCAGTAGTGCAGACCTCTGGTTTCTTCTATGTAAATGAAAAGGCAGACTATCTTTTCATATCCCCATGAAAGGACACAATTTTTCAATGAATATTTACAAGTAGGAAATCTAAGAGGTTTCACATCATAGTTATGTTAGGTAATGATCAAAGAGCAGAAGTCAGCAGGTAGAAAAGTTTTTTTTTTTTTTAATTGAATGAAGTCACCAAGTACAGTATAGTCTTGGCAGTTTATGCAACTGGCTAAAGTAGTAAATAATTGTTCAGTGGTTGACTAATTCCAATGCCAGCCTTCCACCTCCTAGGACTCGATGCATACCTGAGAGCATGTGATTCACCCGCTGAAACCTCTAGTGAGAATCTATGCTTCATAGCTTTGCTGCCCTCTCCATCTCAACCCATACAACCCACCTAACCAACAAATAAGAAACTCTTATGGCTTGAATATGAAATGCCTTCTGGAGGCTCATGTGTTTGAGTACTTGGTTCCAAGCTGATGGCTCTCTTTGATGAGCTGTGGAACTTTTGGGTTTATGGGCATACCTGACATACCCAGGTAGCTGTGGGTAGACACTGAAAATTATATTTGCCCCTCATTCCAGTTGGAGCTTTGTTTCCTTGTCCTCCAAGGTGTGAACAAGTCATGTTGCAAGCTCCCAATGTTACAGACCAAGCCAGCCCAGCTGCCATGCCCTTCCCACCCTCTAAACTGTGAACATAACAAACCTCTTATCCCCAAATTGCTCATTCAGGCAATGAGAAAAGCAACTACTATAGAGACTTACTGTGTGCTTCCTATGATGACAAGCAGTTAACATGACAAATTGTCAGTATGTGAGTTCAGGTAGAACCGATTCCTGGTAACACACTCAAGTTAGTAATGTAGCTTAGAGATAATACCAAACATCCCCCTCTTTCCATTTCCCACATGGTCCACATCGACTCACCATTTAACTTTTATGATGTGTTCAAAGCGTGGCTCTGGAAGTCTCTGTCCACATGAGGTTGTAGTCTGAGGAGAAATCACAGTCCATACAAGAAAAAGCATATCTTAGCTACCCCATACCCCCCCCCCCGTCACTGTGTGATCCACTACTTGCTGATATGTTTAAACTAACTCTAAGTCCTTTACAATTGGCTAGTCTCAGTTCACAGCCTGGGTTAGGGCGCTTCATGGTGGGGATAACAGAAACTCACATGATCAGAAATCCAAGAAAATAAATTTATTGAACTTTGAAGGGAAAACTCCACAGACATAAAAGAAAATTAAATATAGACTGCAGGACACAACTAGTCATACTGTGAATAATGGCTTGTGTGGCCAGCAAAGTACCAAAAAATGACATTCTGGGACTGATTGAGGTATTTAACTATTTTTGGCTATAGAAACCTGGTAAGCCTATGGTGAAATGGTAAGATAGTTCATCAAAACACACGTCTTTAAGTTGAATAGATTCTAAGTTGATGATATTTCATATGAACTAAATCATGTAGCCATTGGAGAAACCATAGCAGCAAGGTATCAGAAAAAATTATTAGAATCTATTACAACATAACACGGTGAGCCTTAAACACCCAATGCTAGATTTTCACTGTCTCTCCTGCATGAAAGAGAACTTTAAATCACTAAACATTAAGCCTGTTTTCCCACAAAGGTCTGAGCAAAACGGTAAATACCATTAAAAGTTAAAGGCAATTTTAAAGTTTCAAGCTTCTAAAAATACTTAAAATGAGAAGCATTCTTGAGCAGGCTAAGGGTCCTTTCTCTCTCACAAATCTTTTACAGGGCTAACCCAAAGAACTATGTTTACATTATTAGAGAATCAGAAAGTGGTTCTTATATTGTTTGTTTTCTACCATGTTTGAGATCAATCTCCCTGGGGGAGGAAAAAGTAAGAAGTGATGAAAGTTTTTACTGCTTAGAATACACCTTATAAAAAGTTTGATGACAAGGTTTCTGTTATTTGTTTAATTAATTCTGAGTTATCCTTTGTGAGTGCAAAGTCATTTATTCTGCCCCTCCCCTTCTTTGCCATGAATTAAAAGACTGTGTCTGGCTGTGAAACAAAGATCTAGGTCTTTATTTTTCTATTACCTGCTTAACTTTATCCCACCTGCTACTGGATTTCACACATGTGAATTTCTCCTTGTGTATATTAATTCTTAGGTTCCTATAAGAACCGAGCTGTTTTCAAGGAGGCAGAACTCCATGGGAGGGGGATCCTTTTCCTGCTCTCTCAGCTAGCAAAACCCAACCCAGTGTGCCCCTGCAGCTCTCCCACAACTTGGCCAATCACAAAACCATCGCATCTACTTCTCCTACTAGCAGCCCTGTGGTTTGAACTTAAATTCATTGAAGAAAGCATTTCTTTTATTATTATCATTTCTGTTATTGTTTGGCGTATGATATGTTGATCTGTAGGAAAATTTTTAAGTTTTCTAAATTAAAAATATTTGTTTAAAATTTTAAAATGAGTTTGTTCCAATAATGTGGGTTATTAGACATATTTAGATTTAAGAATTTCTGGGAGTTATAAAAAGGGCTTTGTAAAAATCTAACTTGTTTCTTTTTCTTTAGGTTTATTGACCAAAGCGTTAAACCCTCTTTACATTGTAGTTGTTATACCCTTGGCTGGATTGTTGTGAACTACAATATGTGCAGTGTATTATAAAATATCAATGCTTAAAGTGTAAATTATTAAAAATAGCTTTATCAGTTTTATGTCAAAATAAATGTTTTGCATATCCAAACTAGTTTTACCTTCTCACTTAGAGCTTTAGTTCCCAGTTATTTTTAAAAAGAAAGGGAAATTAGCCTGTGCTACACTCTGCATTCAATTTCCTGATTGGTTTGCTTTTTTTCAAAAAGCATGATTTACATACATGAAAGACTTAGCTATTTAATGCTTAATATCACAAAATTAAGACCCACGGTACAATCACTGCGACTAAACAGTCTTAGAGACAATTCTTTAAAATATTGATAATTCACAATGGGAGTATCAATCTGATTAAGCATTCTTGATTTTCCACTTTAGCTAATGTTTCGACATTTCCAGAAAAGGTGTTTTTCAATCCACATTCACCCTCACACTCTCCCAACACAGATTTAAACATAGTTTTTGGTTTAAGCGCTCATGCCCAGCCATTTCTTTACCAATAAAGATAGGAAAGGCTACTGCATGATTTTGTTCAGTTGGTCTGTGCTCACATAGCCACAAGAGGAGAGGAACTTCTTTTTGTCAGGCAAAGGCAAAGCAGTCGCGTTGAGTATAAGGCCCCGTGGCGACTGCACGGTGTGAACCGCGGTGTAGTCTGGGACAGGCACCTCAGCATCTGGAGCAAGCTCTGTTGTCTTGGACATCCGTGCAGTAGTGGTAAGGCTTTCTGTGGTGATATAAATGTCCTCCTGGTTAAAGTCTGGTTTTGCACATGACCTGGCCTCCATGTGAGGGGCCACAGCGATGCACTTTTTGGCATCTGACTCACAGAAGTAGGCACTATTCATGCCGTAATTTTCTTGGCAGGGTGCGGCCGCCTCTGGCTGCGTGTTGCACTGGGCTATTCCTGCCTTAATCTTTTGACCTGGGGAAAGGACTACTCTGCCTGCTGGTGTAATATCGCTTACTTGGGCATAAAAGTCAATGTTAGCAAGTGAAGAGGGATTGCTCATCAGTGTAGAGGCCAGTTGGTGGGTTGATTCAGTTTCACTGCTCACGAGTGCCTGTGGTTTGTTTTCTTCCACTGCTGGAGTAATGCCCGGGGAGCCAAGGGAAGCATCATAAGTTGAGTGTTTTAGATTCTTCTGGTCAAGGCACAAGAGATCGGCTTCCGCTCTTAACTTCTGTGACTGAGTAATCTGTGAGGTACCATCACCCATGTCACTGGTGTGGAAATCAGTGTCCAAAATTTCAGGATCATAACAGCTGGTACGTCCAGAATCATCATCTTTTGCTCCAAGGATACTAACTGATTTCTCATGGTCTTTGCTTAGAAGTCTGTCTGTGTCTGACCCTTCAGTCTTTTCATCTGGGTCATCAATATCTAGCTCAATAAACTCAACCCAGGAGTCATCATTGTAGAAGTCAGGTTTGTAGTTATCATGAATGCCTAAGATGGTGTTCACCTCCTCCAATTTTCCTTCCTAGGAGGCAGACAGAAAGTGGAGATCTATGAAAATCAACTCGAAATGATTACATAATTTTAAATAGGATGCGTTGAGTTTGCAAAACAAACAACCACCCCCAATGAAAACAAAACAACAAAAACACCAACCAAACAATCAAACACCCAAAATCTTCTTAAAAGAGGGCAGTGTTTCTTTAGGTATTGCTTTCTCGTGAACGAACTCCAATTAGCATAAATTACCTTGAGAAGATCGGGATCAATTCCTTTAATCTTCGGAACTGGGACTGGGGGTAAAATCAGCATCTTAATCCTTGAAAACAAATAAAGTTTTATTTTTACATCTTAAAAATTACATGTTCTCTTATTTCAAAAGGTAGAAATCAAATGTAGCCATATCTCATATCTTGAATAAACAGACTATGAAAAAGTCAGGGAGATTATTAAACAGTAGGTGACAAAAAAAAAAAAAAAAAGGCTTCATTTAAGATCATTTAGTTAAAATGTCGTTTTCCTCTAATATGTTTTTTTTTTTCTTAGTGCTTTTGATGAGTAGTCAATTTTAGTATTTGGCAGTGCAGAATCTAATTCTTTCTAAAGCCAACTTCCATATTACTTCTAAATAAGACACGCTTAAAGCATATGGTATCAAGAAGAAAATGAAACAATCCAGAAAGTAGAACTAAACTTATTTTCACCCCTGAAAAAGAGTGTGTTGGTCTAAGTTAGCAGTATACAGCGCATAGTAACTAAAAACATTTAAAATGATTTCTAGACAGCATGATATTGCATGGATCATTGAAAGTAGGACAGACCATCTAAATTATCTCCAGTAAAGATAAATTTATATGTATAATACTATGATCTGTTTACATTTCTTTTTCAAATGTTGAAATAAATTTTCTTTAAAAATATCTATTATTAATTTAAATCGAATTAAATTCGATTTAATTTAATTCGATTAAATTCCCCTGTTTTCCCCTTCCTTTCTTTTCCTCAGCCCCCTCCCAGTTGCCCTCTCTCAAAACCTTTCCTCGTATCCCTTTCAAGTTTTTTTTTAATTTTTATTTTATGTGTCTCTCTGTGATTATATTCCATAAATGAGTAGGTGCCTAGGAAGGGCAGAAGAGGGTGGCAGATTCTCTAGAGTTGAAATTAAAGAAAGATGTGAGTCACCTGTGTGGTTACTGGCAATTGAACTTGGGGTCCTCTATGAGAGCAGTATGCACTCTCAGTTGTTGAACCACCTCTCTAGTTTCTGAAATTGGTTTTGACCATAATTAATTTCAATTTTTACTCTATTGATTTGGTGTCCTCCTGAAATTCTATTACTTAGCTTTTATTATTTAGAAGTTGCTCTGTAAGCATTTCTTGAACAAATTTGAACAAATCATCTATTTTGTTGCAAGCATTAAGCAGAGTTTCTGCCTTAACACCAACACAATGAACTCTGGATACCTCCATACCTCAGTGGGAAAACTGAGTGGTTGTGATACAGATGTGGTCCCTAAAGCCTAAAACCTCACCACATGATTATTTACAGATCAAGATGATCGACTCTTGCATTAAACATTTTACCTAATCTTTACAGCTACAAGGAAGGAAGATATTATCTGAGCACTCCACTCCTACAAGACCCTTGGGAGGGCTGGTGCTCAGGCCCAGAGTGATTGCTCCAAAGCTAGCTGTCTGTCCTATGCCTCTCTGTTCTTTGCTTCTGCATCCATAAATGCATCTTTCAAGTTTTCAAAGACTAAAAATGCAAAGTAATCTCAGTGATATGAAACAAAGATTCCCAAATAGCTAATGTTTGATTTTGTGACACATATGTCTCCTTTTTAAAGAACGTGATCTATTTTGGCAGATGCTAGTGGCTTTCTGTAGTTGTGATGACATTAAACCACGGAGATCTCCCAACTCCAAGGGCCCGAGCTAGTAGTGTAAATCAATGAATCAATTATGATAGCAGTAAGCTGTATGTCTCCTCAAATGGGAGAGCTGGCCCCCTTTTCAGCTTATGCAGTATGCAGAAATATCAGCCTAGTTTGACTGCACATTTCAATATTTAAGGTTAAAAATAGATTGTTTGCTCATATAATACATCCCACACTTTCCCCTCTCTTTACTCCTCCTACCTTCCCTCACCTCTCTTCTTCTCAAGATCCACTCCAATCCCCAGTTTTCCCTTAGGAAAGAGAAGGCCCATTCCTGGCACACAGTGCACACTGCATCTCTGGAGGCTTGCTGCTACCTGGGACAGACAGGTACAACCCCTACACCCCAGCCCCCTGCCTGCTAGATCCCCTTGAGCAAGTCCAGCAGTAAAGAACTACACCCTGTTCCCTGTGTACTCCATCTTGTGGCCCATAGTCCTATCTGCATTCCCAGAGGCCAGTTGCCACCAGGGACCACAGATGAGCCTCCCCTTCCCCCATGATTCCCAGCAAGCCCTGAGGTGGTGAGCCCCACTTTGTCCTCATTGTACCACATACCTGGCACACAGCTCAGCCTTTATCTCTGGAGGACTGCTGCCACTGGGGACACACAGATGAGCATTTTATAGACAGATCCCAGCCCCCTGTGTGCTGGGTCCCTCTGGGCAAGCCCCTGCCAGCTGTTCCCTCCATTCTGGGCCCACAAATCTACCTGTATCCACAGGGGCCTGCTGCCATCAGGGAGTACCAGGTAAGAATTGACCCTTCCCACTATTCCTCCTAAAACACTCCCAACAGAGGTAAACTGCACCTGCTCCCTGTGCTCCTTTTCCTTGCCCACAACTTGGGCAATAGACTACCAATACCATAGACAACCAGATGGCTAAAAGCCAGCATGAGAACACAATCAATACTATGTGTTTCTTTTAGAGTTTGTGATACCTCACTCAGGATGATCTTTTCTAGTTCTATCCATTTGCCTGCAAATTTCATGATTTTCTTTGCTGACTAGTATTCCATTGTATAAATGTACCACAATTTCTGTACCAAGGACCATGCCTGGAGATAACCCAGAACCCCTGAACAGATGTAGTCCATGGCAGCTCTGTGTCCAAGTTTCCAAGGGGGTACCCTAGTAAGGGGAACAGGGACTGTCTCTGACATGATCTCAGTGGCTGGCTCTTTGATCACCTCCCTCTGACTGGGGAGCAGCCTTACCTAGCCACAGAGAAAGACAATGCAGCCAGTCCTGATGAGACCTGATAGGTTAGGGTCAGAGGGAAGGGGAGGAGGACCTCCCCCATCAGTGGACTGGGGAAGGGGAGTGGGAAGAGAAGGGGGAAGGAGGGTGGAATTGGGAGGGGAAGAAGAAGGGGGCTACAACTGGGATACAAAGTGAATAAATTGTGATAAATAAAAAAAGAAAAATAAAGAAAAATAGTAGAAGACTTCAACACCCCTCTCTCACCAATGGATGGGTCATCTTGGCAGAAACTAAACAGAGAAATAATAAAATTAACAGATGTTATGAATCAAATGGACCTAATATTTACAGAACATTTTATCCAAACACCAAAGAATATACCTTCTTCTCAGCACCTCATGGAACCTTCTCCAAAATTGACCATAAACTCAGATATAAAGCAAGTCTTAACAAATACAAGAAAATTGAAGTAACTCCCTGTATCTTATCAGACCACCTTATGTTAAAGATGGACTTCAACAACAACAGAAAGCCTATAAATTCATGGAAACTCAACAACTCTCTACTCAATGACTAATGAGCCAAGGAAGAAATAAAAAAAATTGAAGACTTTCTAAAATTCAATGAAAATGAATGCACACATACCAAAACATTTGGGACACAATGAAAGCAGAAAGTTCATAGCACTAAGTGCCTTCATAAAGAACTTGGAGATCTCATACAGAAATTTAAAAGCACATGTGAAAGCTCTAGAACAAAAAGAAGCAAACACACCCAAGAGGTTATATGGCAGGAAATAATCAAATTCAAAATTAAAATCAACAAATAAGAACAAAAGTAACAATACAAAAAAATCAGGACAACCAAGAGCTGGTTCTTTGAGAAAATCAACAAGATAAACTAAACTAACTAAAAGGCAGACAGACATTATCCAAATTAACAAAAGCAGAAATGAAAAGGGAGATACTGAGGAACTCCAAAGAATCATTAGGTCTTACTTCAGAAGCTTGTACTCCACAATACTAGAAAAATCTAAATGAAATAAACAATTTTCTTGGTAGATGCCACTTACTAAAGTTAAATCAAGACCAGGTAAACAATTTAAATAGACCTATAACCCTTAAGGAAATAGAAGGTGTCATTCAGAGGAGGATTTTGCAGCCAGTCCTGATGAGACCTGATAAGCTAGAGTCAGATGGAAGGAAGGAGGACCTCCTCTATCAGTGGACTTAGAGAAAGGCAGGGAGGAGATGAAGGAGGGAGGGTGAGATTGGGAGGGAATAAGAGAGGAGGCTACATCTGGGAAACAAAGTGAATAAACTGTAATTAATATAAAAAATAAAAATTTAATTTAAAAAGTCTCAAAAAAAAGAAGGCCTGGGACAGATGGTTTCAGAAGAGAATTCTACCTGACATTCAAAGAAAAGCTAATACCAACATTCTTCAAATATTCCACAAAATAGAAACAGAAAAACTTTGCCAAACTCATTCTATGAGGTCATAGTCATCCTGATATCTAAACAACACAGACTCAAAAAGAAAGAGAATTTCCAAACAATTTCCATTATTTCCTTATGAACAGTGATGCAAAAAATTCAACAAAATACTTGCAAACCAAATCCAAAACCATATCAAAAACATAATCCACATGACCAAGTAGGCTTCATTCCAGGGATGCAGGGATGGGAAAAATCCAGGAATGTAATCCACTATATAAAAAGATTGAAGGAAAAAAACAAACAAACACAAACATATGATCACTTCATTAGATGCTGAAAAAGCCTTTGACAAAATTCAATACCCCTTCATGTTAAAAATCTTGGAGAGATCCGGGATACAAGATTCACACCTAAACACAATAAAGGCAATACATATCAAGCCAATAGACAATATCAAATTAAATGGAGAGAAACTTAAGCAATTCTACTAAAATTGGGGATAAGAGAAGTCTACCCACTCTCTCCATATCTCTTCAATATAGTACTTGAAGTTTTAGCTAGAGCAATTAGACAACTAAAAGAGATCAAAGGGATACAAATTAGAAAGGAAGAAGTCAAAGTATTACTATTCGCTGATGATATGATCCAATACATAAGTGACCCCAAAAATTCTACCACAGAAATACTACATCTCATAAACACCTTCAGGAAAGTGGCTGGGTACAAAGTTAATTTA